TTAGCAGAATTTAAATCACTAAAAGGAAATAGAACAGAAAAAGTAATTTATCTCACCTCCAGGAAAGGAAAAAACAAAAATAACAAAAGTAGACTTTTTCCCACATTAGGTACTCCCAGTTAATTTTATGATCTTAATTTCCCATTACTTCAAATATCTAGAATATGAACATGAGCTTCCCTTAGTCAAACCAAACACAATGCCTCCATTTTATTTAGTATTCTTAAAATGCATGTTTTGAGATTTAAAATATTTTATTCTAATGAAAGTGGTATTATTTAGCTTTTATATAGTTCCTTACGCCGCAGTTTCAAAGCAATTTATACATTTAATAGCCACTCTTCACAAAATAGCTACATGAATATTTGAAAACATCTGTCTTGTTTTAGAGAATATTAAATAGAGAGGAGGTTGGAATACTTCTGTAGGGGAGGAAAAATATCTTTCCTCTACCCTTTAATGTTGTTGAGTGGGACCCCTATTACAAAAGACATTAACAAGAGAAAAGATACAAATTTAATTAATATGTTTTTTTAATTTTATTTATTTATTTGAGAGACAGAGAATGAGAGAGAGAGAGCACGAGAGGGAAGACGGTCAGAGGGAGAAGCAGACTCCCCGCCGAGCAGGGAGCCCGATGCGGGGCTCGATTCCAGGACCCTGGGGTCATGACCTGAGCTGAAAGCACATGCTTAACGACTGAGCCACCCAGGCGCCCCCCAGCATAATATTCTTTACAATATATAGATACACAGTGAAGTAATGTTTCTAAGAACCCAGCTAACTATGCTAGAGTAACAGATATCTTTTTTTTTTTATTATTGTTAGGTCTATTTAAAACCTAATTTTATCACTGTAAAATAAACCTCTTGGTAATACAGCTGGATATCTAAACTTCTATTTTTTTAAAATATCTTTTTAAAAATATTTTATTTATTCATTTGAGATACAGAGATAGAGAGAGAGAGAGAGAGAGCATGAGCAGGGAGAGAGGCAGAGGGAGAAGGAGAAGCAGGCTCCCCACTGAGCCAGGAGCCTGATGTGGGGCTCGATCCCAGGACCCCAGGATCATGACCTGAGCCGAAGGCAGATGCTTAACCATCTGAGCCACCCAGGAGCCCCAAACCTCTATTTTTTTTTTAAGATTTTATTTACTTGAAAGAGAGCACAGAGGGAGAGGGAGAAGCAGACCCCCACTCAGCAGGGAGCCCAACGTGGGCTCAATCTCAGGACCCCAGGATCATGACCTGAGCCGAAGGCAGACACTTAACCGACTGAGCCACCCAGGCACCCCTAAACCTGTATTAATTATATAAATAGTAAAGAGTCATTTTTTAAAAAAAGATTTTATTTATTCATTTGACACAGAGAGCACAGGCAGGGGGAGCAGCAGAGGGAGAGGGAGAAGCAGGCTCCCCCCAGAGTAGGGAGCCCAACATGGGGCTTGATCCCAGGACTCTGGGATCATGACCCGAGCTGAAGGCAAACACTTGGCCAACTGAGACACCCAGGCACCCTTAAGCAGTCATTTTTAAAAAGATTTCATTTATTTACTTGAGAAATAGTGAGAGAGCACGAGCAGGGTGGAGGGGCAGAGGGAGAAGGAGAAGCACACCCCTACTGAGCAGGGAGCCAGACCTGGGGGGTCCCAGGACCTGGGGATCATGACCCAAGTTGAAGGCAGACGCTTAACAACTGAGCCACCCAGGCGCCTCCTAAAGAGTCATTAAAAAAAAAAAAAAAAAAAGACACAGGGGCACCTGGGTGGCCCAGTCAGTTGCGCGTCTGACTCTTGGTTTTAGCTTAGGTTGTGATCTCAGGGTCCTGGGATCAAGTCCCTTGTCGGGCTCTGCACTCAGCAAAGAGTGTGCTGGAGATTCTGTCTCTCCCTCTCCTGCTCTCCCTCCCCCGCAAATAAATTTAAAAAACATTTTTTAAAGACTATCCAATGCCCAATTGAGAATATTTAATGGGGCACCTGGATGGCTCAATCAGTTAAGTGTCCGATTTTTGATATCAGCTCAGGTCTCAATCTCAGGTCCTGTGTTGGGCTCCCCGCTGGGTGTTGAGACTAGGGAAGGAAGGAAGGAAGGAAGGAAGGAAGGAAGGAAGGAAGGAAGGA